TCCAGATAAGCTATATCGAAATGCAACTACTTCGATGCATTTTCCCATGCAAGTTTGTGTTGTAAGTAATAACTATTCCAGTGCTATTGGACAAAAAAAAAGATAATTTGTCTATTCCCTACAAAGTCTCGCTATGGCTCAGCAACATCCCCGGCCAAACTATACCATCCGTGACCACCTCAACAATCACTATAAGACTGTCAACGAAACTCTGGATGGTTTACAATCTCCGCCATCGTTGACAATGTCGGGGTTTTTCATGCGCGCCCAGGCACGTGACTGATGGCACTTTCCCTGATAGGAAAGTGCAATAAAATACAACACAATTTTCTCGCACCGTATACGTCGCTGTTCACCTACAGTTCAACCAAACAACCATATTTCGACTTGATTGTTGATGAAGTTGCAATTATTCGACCAATATTCTTTGGAACAAGTTATAAAGGGACTGTGACACTACCCTGGCACACTATCTAGATTCAACTGCTAAATATGCTGGAAAACTCTTGAAACGTCTTCCCAAAACAAGGGGCAGTTGGTAAACAATGACATCACACATGTCTGCGATGACCTCACTCTCCCTCCTTCGTGTTAGATGTGGAGAGCTTGAGCAAACGAAAATTAGGTTTTGATGAGGTGAGAACATAAACGCTATAGGATAGTAGAGGAGGTAATATGCAAATATAAAGAAAATTATTTGAAAAACTGATTGAATAAAAGAGCAAGTAAATTAGCAAACCATGTAAGGCACTGTTCCCGCATACTCGGCAATTTCCCCATAAACAGTTGCTTGTTCTCGTAATCGAACGGAACATCCAAAATCCCCAAGTTTTAGTACGCAATGCAGATCAAGAAAGATGTTAGCGGGCTTTATGTCCCGATGTACTACCTAAATACAGTCATATTCTCAAAAGCAGGAAGGGGACAATAATGACAAATTACCTTTTGACTATGCATATAGGCGACAGCTTTCAGAAGGCTATTCGTATATCGTCGCACTAGCTCTTCATCAAGTCCCTCACGACAAATTCGTTCTAGCGTTCCTTCGGAGCAATATTCCATCATAATCAATACTTCATCCTGAGAAAGTGTGTGAGGAAGAAAATGGCATCAAAGTTGCAAAGACTAACCTGCCGGACTTCGCACCCGTAGTATTTGACGAGATTTTTGTGATTGAGATTCCGAAAGATATCAACTTCTCCTTGGAGAATCTAGATAAACACCCTTTTTTATGATTAAAGACGTGTTGGCATTATAATCAATAGAGGATTAGGATTGCTCAAACAAAATGACTAGTTGCCATAAACCTCGACAACTTCTCAATATCACTGATAGATTAAATTAGACTTTTTGCCTATCAGAAAAATCAAAGAGAAAACCTTGATTGTGTAAGCGACCGATAATACAAGCAGTAGCTAGCTACATTGGCTAGTGA